ATCGGAATATGCAAAAAACCGAAAATCGATTTTTTCAAAATTTTAGCCCTTCCTAGTCCCCTTAAAGATTACACCAACGAACAAACGGTAAAACTGAAGGAGAGCTCCCTCCTCACCGATTTCGATGAAATTAGGCTTAATCGATTCGTTTTTGCACAAAACGAATGAATCTGGCAGAAAAAAGCCCCGCTCGGCCCCGCGACGCGAGATATTAACTGTTAAAGTTGACGACTATCAGGTTATGAGACCTGTCATACCGACGCGATGTAGCGACTGGTAGCAACCACGAACATGCCCTGCGGCCACATGCGCATGCTCCGTAGCCGCACGCGCATGCAAAAGAAGGTCACGTGACAACTGTCTGTTTGGTAAGTACATATTTATGTGTACTTTTCACATACCAACTATTCTCTGCTTTAACAAATTATTTATGTTTTGTTAACTTAAGGGGATTCTAAAGCCGTCTGTAATACCGGCTTTTTTTCTTAGCACTAATCTTTTAATTGACTTTATAGAAATGCAAAATTCTTGTCTAGAATTAAAGTACGCATCAAAATCTAGGTTATGGTGGTCAAATTTATATCGAAAACAAAAAAAAATTAATATTTTTGTTAATTTTTGGTATACGTGACGACAATATTTGCTTTATACAAAAATTCCACGATAAATATCCACAAAATTAGACCGACATGACCTAGGGACAACATTTAAGAACAATATCGTGCAATTAGATCTAAGATTGAAAACCTAGAAAAAAAGATTACTTTATATAACTTTTATATGTGCAAAAGCACATTCAGGTTGACAGGATAAGCAATATTGCGTGTGGCAAGAGATGGCGCAGTAATCGAACAAAGACAGATGCCTCTCGTTAGACAAGGACAGATATAGATATATGACAAGAAAACAGAATTAGAAATGTCGACATTACCGACGTCGAGGAAGTTCAGCCTTCACTTTAGGATCCCCTTAAACGCTTAATAACTGTAACAGAAATAATTTGTTAAAGCAGAGAATAGTTGGTATATGAAAAGTACATGTAACCCTGGTGGAAATAATTTTACAACGATTTACGTATTTCTATGACAAATTATAATCTTCTACAACAAATCACAAGTTTGTAAAAATTGTAGAAATTCACGGTAAATTGTAGTAAATTGTTATAAATTGTAGTAAGATGTAGTAAGTTGTAAAAAGTAATAGAAAATTGTAACACATTTTTTATGAACATTTTTAGAGACGTAGTAAATTGTAGAAGTTGTAGATTATTGTAAAAATCATAACTATTTACAACTATTTACAACATTCTGCAAATATTTTTTATGAGAAACGTAGTAAATTATACAAGTTGTAGATTATTGTAAAAATTACAACCATTTATAAATATGTACAACATTCTACGAATATTTTTATGAAAATTATATTGCAAATTTGTAGAAGTTGTACATTCTTGTAAAAATTACAACTATTTAAAACTTCCTACAACATTCTACAAATATTTTTTTCAGCATTCCATAAAAGATTCGATACATTTTTTATATTTTCATAAAAAGTTACAAGTTGTTTTAAATTATTAAAAAATCTTAAGAAATGCTTATAATTGCCTCTTTACTTTGTATATTTCTACACACAACAATTCAATGTTGTAAGTTGACGTATTTATCCTAATACTTACTTAATCTTTACTTGTGAAAGTGTTTTATTACAATAACAGAAAAGAGAAAAAAGAAATAATTGCAAGTTGTTTTATTTATATTATAAATACATATGACAATTATACAATCTAATTACTAATTACAAAATATAGTTTACCTATTAATCATGTAAACAACCGTAGGGAATTTTACTCACATATTTGAACTTATCTATTTCCATAAATATACATGGCCTGACTAATTTTGCTGGCTTATGTACTGTTAAAATACTATTAGTGACATCACATTCCTTTATATGCTCAATAGGGATCGAAGAAAATGTTAAATTTGAAGTTCTTAATCTAAAAGTGTTTATAAATAATATTACTTTTTCCACATTTCCGAATTTTATCAAACAAATTTTATGAATTTGACCAATTGAACCATTATCTAATTGCACAATTGAATAATTTATTTTCTTGCAGCGTTGTTGTTAATAAGAAATTGTTGTATATCTTACATCATTATAAATAAGTTTATCAAAAGACAAGCACTTTTCTACTGGCTCGTTAAGTAGTTCTATTTCTTCTTCTGTTAAATGGCAATTTTTTCCAAAACCTATTAACACAGAATTGTCATACAATTTTATGGCTGTTTTTAGTCTTGTTTCAAACAAAGAGTTACAAAATTTATTTACGTGATGACTTATATTGTTGTTTTATCAGAAAACGAAGTTATATTTTGAAATAATAATATTCTTCTTGTAAACTGAGGTATAATACGAGCTGGACTATGTTTATTTTTTAATAGTAATCTGTTCACATTTTCAAATACAAATGTATTATGTGCCCATAGTGGACCAAAATTTTCAACGCTTTTCCATAAATGTAATAATAAATGAACATTATATGTCATTGCCTCTTTACCGTAAAGTGATTGCAATTTGACAACAAATTTAATAAGTAACGATCTTGCCGTGGCAAGTGCAGTCTGTGTTATTGAATCTTGTAATAGAATATTCATTGCATTTACAAGAAGTGACCAATGTCGCAAATATTTGTTTGGTAATACTCCGCGTAAACAAGGAAGCGAATAAAATAAAAGCCAGGATCGCCATTCTGATGCTCTCCATAACTTTCGTTCTTTTAAAGATCTTGGTGTTCTCGTTATTATTTTTGGTGGTGATATGGATAACAAACGATTATTAATTATGTCCATTTTATAAGATTGTCCAATATAGTATTTTTTTTTCACTGAAGTAAGAATCGTTTCAGTTATTTGTCGTATTGCACCTATTAACACAGAATGCATATAATCAGGTGGTAAAGAATCTGCCAAATCAAAATATTTTAAATTCATTAAAAAGGACGGTCCTTTTATACCAAAAGTGTCCTCATCAGTAACAGTTCCTAATGTAACACTTTTCTTCATTAATTCTTTTATATCATAATCAGATCTAAGTACTGGAATATTTGCAGAAATTGGGTACTTTGCAACATTATTAATTTGCTCTGTTGGGTGCAAACAGTATGTACATCCAAATGAACCGTTAAATTGCTTCATATTTAACATTTTACAACGAGCAACCGAATCAACAGAAGATAATAATGGAAAAAATTTAGATGTAACATCCTTTCCTTTATAATTCCACGAAATTCCTACTGTGGACAACTCATTTGCTTGCCGAACAAAAATATCACCAAATACATTCATGTTAGGTTGTGATTTATCAACCCATAATCCAGCTGGTATTATATATTTTGTGCGAATATGTGGTGGCAATTCATTTATCATTATGAAATAAGGCCATATAGCTACTTTAGAAGTATCTGCTAGTTGGCACCCATCAGTATTAAATATGTAAGATAGATTTAGTTCATCTTCTAAACATTTATTTTCTTTATACTTTTTACCATCAAAAATATCTTCTAACGCTTTATCATTCTTCTTTTTTCTTGTAAATCTATAGTTAAGATGCTTTATTACGAATTTATTTGATAGTAACTTTTTAAATTGATCTTTTAAATTGAACTCAACAAAGGAAGATGTTGCTTCTTTCAGATGAAATCCACACTCACAATTG